CTCCTAGTCGCTTCATGCTACAGAAACCAGGATAAGCTCCGGCCTGATGGGCCACTTGGCTCGCATGCAGACTTTTATAGGACCTAAAAAAAGACACACCTCTAGACAGCACCAGACTGAGGCAGTGTAGGAAATTAGCGCTCACCCACTCACCAATGTAAGATCATCGGGCGAGTACAAATCATTGATCAGTCGCCCGTTTGGCGAGTACAATTTTCATTTTTGGGAAATTATTTAAGCTTAAATATTGATAACATTATTTTTTTATTTTCTGTTTTGGCAAGAAAATCTCTAAACAAAAACTTACCAGTGTTTTTATTTAACCCTTTTTCATCTTTCGAGATGCCCAACTTCTTCACTTCACGTTCACCTGTCCCCTGGCGCCAAGTTGGCGCATAGGGATGCCCAACTTAATGTTTCATAAATAGACCAAATGAAATACAGCTTCCACATTGCTGTAGTTTTACCCGAAACACAGCTTGAGAAACAAACAGCTACTGAATTTGCATTACTAGAATAATTTATTCAGACACAGGAGTAAACAACTTGTCATCACATGCAAGAATGACATTTTTCCTTTCAGATAAAGAATGAAACTTGAAGACCTTAAACCCAAAGATAACAGCAATGGAGGCAATTTAATTTCAAAACAGTTCTTATTGACAAATCTTCTTGAGATTCATTCCTTAGCAAGCAAACATCCTTGTTCCTCACATGTGCCATCTTTAACTCTCACATACTAATCACTGACAGCTCAAGTAGAGACCAGCAGTATGGCACACGCGTGTAAGGCTATATAAATTATCACCGTGAGAAAATATATTTCTAAGCTGCTTCAAAAGTTCATCAAAAAAGGCAGGACAAAAAACGGCAAAATCAGCCTGCAATCCTGAACAGGTATTTAGCGGTGAGGGGGGTATACATGTATCTTTCTCAGCGAGTGAAAATTAAACTGGGCGAGTGCATTTTTTTCTACAGCCCTTCACCCGATTTGCGGATGCGGTCAAAATTTAGTTTCCAACACTGCTGAGGGCAAAATAATGTGGAACTATGCCAAGTTTTTCACAGGCAGGCAAAACTATTTGTACTGAACTTCTTTAAAAGAAAAACGTTCCTCATCAAGATGGTCAATTTGCCAGGTGCCTTACTAATGAAATCCCTGCTTCATAAGATACAAGTTTGCCACAGTAATGTCATTTGTAATTTCAAAATTATGTGAAAGATGAACACAGTGAGAACGACAGAAGGTAGATACCTCAAATTTATCTAGTACACCTGTATGTGTAATTTGTGAGCCAACAGTGTTAAGAGTTACAAATATTCCAGATTTTGTGAGCAGTAAGGAGTTTAAGAATGGCTGACTGTTAGGATTGAGAAACGCCAGTCAACGACCCATTTGGTAAATCGCTCATATTTTGCCCAAAGATACCCTTAGGTGACCTAATTCTAAAAATCATATTTAAAGGTTCCAGCGAATTTTTATTTTTCAGAAATTCGTGAAAATTTGAAAGCGCAATCGAAGTGCAGTTTTTCATGTAATAAAATGACTGAAATATGGTGCGAGGACAAAGCGCTGCTGAAGTCTTAAAATAAATTCAACGGACTTCAAACTTTGCACAAATGTGGAACAACCACTCTAATTTATTCTTCCTTTTAAACTAATCTCAGATATGTTGATATAGTGGTTTTCNATGTTTTTCGTGCACAATCATTTATCAAAGGGGGGGGCATTTGTTGGAAAGGTTTATCTATACGCTCTAATACCCCTCTTTTGAGCATCTGCTAGATTTTAACTAGAAGTATATTGTCATAGTACATCGTCAAGCATTCCACATACCGACCAACACGACGAACCGCTCAAGTAAGGCATAAAACGGTGAATAGTTCCCATGAGTTCTTGTTCGCAAGTAACTTCAGGTAGTTCAAACCTCTTTTGTGAACTGCTTTAGAATTACATGGTATTTAGTTTATTCCGTAATTGTGTTAAATAAAATGCAAGATGCTAAGAAGGCTAGGATTAAGGAAATTTGCGTGTAAACTGTTTGGCGCTAACTTGTCAATTGATTTGCATAAGTGCTAGCAAAATTTCAGCTGATGATACCACCTAGAGGAATTCTGAGCTTGAAATTCAACTTTCAGTTGATCACACTGGTGATCACAGGAAAGAGGATCTTTGCAAAGGCCTATGCTACAAATCAGACGTGATTTAGATTAATTTTAGATATTTTTAATCAAGCCAATTAATTAAAGTTGTTAACCCTCAGTTTGTGAATATATCATGTATCATTTGAGCTGAGTATATTACGTAGATTTTCGAATTTCTCAGAGGGAAATACTGCGAGTTCGAGCATGGAACTTGGCATGGTATATGTTTAATAATGATATTTTAAGGCTTTAAAGTAAAATAATCGAAAAATGAGGTACCAGATGCACTTTAATGCTGTTAAACATGACCTATATTTTGCCGCCATTTTTAACCACTTCAGAGGTGTTTTTAAAATGGTTCGGAAAACCGCTATATCAACATATCTGAGATTAGTTTAAAATGAAAAATGAATTAAAATAGTCATTCCACATTTGAGGGAAGTTTGAAGTCAATTGAATTTATTACCGGTAAATACTTTAACAGCACTTTGCCCAAACGCCTTATTTCGGTCGTTTCATTACTCGAAAAGCCGCACTTCGACAGCGCTTTCAAATTTGCGTGAATTTATAAATAATAAAAATTCGCTGGAACCTTTACATATGATTTTTAGAATTACTGTAGGTCACCCAAGGATATCTTTAGGCAAAATACGAGTGATTTGCCAAATGGGTTGTTGACCGGCGTTTCTAGGTCCTAACAGTCAGCCATTCTTAAGGTACCTGGTATATATAACAAATATATTAAACCAAAACCTGGCTAGTGGAAAATCTGGCTAGTTTACGTGTAAAATTGTTTCAACTGATGGCAAAATCTGACATGTCACTAGTCTCAAGCCACTGTTCCCTTTGAAACTTCTACATCCTAAAACATGAACATCCTTACCTCCTTCCATAGTCTGAATAGTTTGGTTGTTAGAAAATGGACTCCACAAAAGTTCCTTGTCTGCATTTCTTGTTGCCTCTGAAACTCGAATTGATATGATAGCAAAAGGCTGCACTCTTTTTAGTTCAATGTCTCTGACAGGCTCCAAACTCTGTACTGTATAATTTAACACGTCGCGGGTAAATCGCCTTTTTCCAGCTCTGGTTGTTACCTTTGCAGGAATTAGGTAACTGTCATATTTGTAACCTCCCTTCATATTCTTAAATCTCCAGAACATTCTTACTTTAAACAAAACTATAATGCCATTTGCTCTCTTTGGTTTTTTCCATCTTAGACGTACTCTATGAGGTCCAGTGGTGTTTGCACCAAGCTCGCGTGGTTTACTAGGAGCTGAGAGAGAAGATTACAGGTTAATACATGTACCTTCAATTGTCAATAGTTACTTTTGTCTTATGGTTCTATATATGATTGGTTGTCAAGAACAATAATTATGTCTGGAGGCACTTTCCACAGGACCCAAAATTACAGACCTTTTGAAATGGGGGCAAATGATACAGTGGGAAATTTTCTGGAAAATTCAGGATTTGTTTAAATTTTCCAAAATTTGAACCATTCAGCTGAAATTTCCAGAAATTGCAAGAGCAACATCAAATGGAACAGAAATCCTCTGAGCAAGAAATAATACCATAGAAAACTTGTGCATTGATTAAACTCACAAATTTGCACCCTTTTTCAAGAAGTTCCAGGAAACGTTGTCCCGTTTAAATCATTATCATGTGCCTAGCTAACTAACATCATACATATACTTATGAGTTCCATAAAATATATTAAAAGAAATATAATTATTATTAATATATATTACTTGTTTTTCTTTTTACATTATTTTAGCAAACTAATCAACAATAACCAAGATTGGGTTTGTTCTATACACATTTACAACTTACCTGATTGCCTTGTTCGTATTATCACTGCAGAGCTCTCCGTAGCAGCTACTCTGTTTTCAACTTTAACTTTCACAATGTAGTTGGTATAGGGGTCCAGACCACCAATAAAAGCTTCTGTAACATTGGACATGACTGATAGTTTGCGAACACTGCCCGAGACAAAGTTCTCAGTTTCATGAAACAAGACTGTGTATGCTTCCAATGGTCCATTAGGCTTCAAGGGAGGCATCCACAGTACATGAATTGCAGTACTATTAACAGCATCCACCGTAACATTGTTGGGAGGTCCGGGAACTGAAGAAAAAGTGACAATTAAACCAGTCAGCACAAGGGCTGGTATCAAGTAATTATAAGTTTTTGTCAACCGCATATTATACAGTCAATAGTAAGGAACTGAAGGGAATCTCAGTTGGTGAGAAAATAGTATCTGATCAAAAAGAATTAACTAGTCTCAATTTCTTGGGTTCTAGGTTTAAATATGTGCAGGGTCAATGGGACTTAAAAAGCATGTCATTGCTTATATACTAAATTTAACTCTAACTGCAAAAACAACTGTACAATAATATTAATGGTTAAATATTTAAATAGGGCTTGTAATTCATTGTTCACTAGACATGTCCATTATGCAATTCTACAGTTTATTTACCCTGAACTGCATTTCAGTCCTGGTTTTGTTTCCTTCTTTTTGAGTTTTTTTTTTTTTCATATTAAAAAAAATACCTCTTAGTCATCAGGACTGGGCTATGTTATGGGCAGATGAGTGGATGAGTGAGTGAGGGATGTATGTATGTCACACCAATCACATTAGGGCTACTATAAACAACCACTCAAATTGCCACTTGCAAAGGCAAATCATGTGTGAAGATTTCGTCCCAATTTTAGATCGGCCAACTTTGTTTTTCTACAAACAGAAACAGGTATTCTTGTATTCACCTTATTCTGACATTTCCGATGCTGCGTTTACTATATAGTTAAGCCCCGGACTTTGTACAGTAAATGGGTTTCAAAATAGTTCAGAATTCCATAATCAGCCAAGGAATCAGTCTTTTGTATACACTAACATGCCATCAAGGCTTTGCTTTTCGCATAGCAAGAAATTTCAAATGAAATGAGTCTTAGCTGCTTGATAACTTGGTGATTTCTAGGACAGGAACAATTGTTTTCAGTGCAAAATGCACTATTGGGATGGTGAGGGGGCTTTCGTCTGTGACAGTATTCACCAGGTTCCCGTCAATATCATTTGCATTACGTGCAGTTCACGAAAAAAGAATAAAGTCCAAACCNGCAGTGTTTCCAAGTAAGGTTGAAACTTTATTACTAAGCAAAAATCTCACATACGAAAATTTCGTTTCAGTGGCACTTTAAGTAGCGCTGTTCACAGAGTAATACCATCTTCTCATTGAAACGTTTCTTGTAATCAATACTGACAAACTCCTTTGAAGTGGTTTTCTCTGTCAAAACCAAAGAAATTACAGATGGCTAGTTATGAATGAGAACACTGCTGAGTTTGAAATTTGTTCTTGTTGCAGGTAAATGTAACAAGATATTTTTGTTTGTTAGTTTCAAATGGTAACTTGACACTTTTGTTTTTCACGCATGAGTGGTTGTAATTAGAACTGACAAATCACTGACTCTTGTTCACACGGTAAGAATAAACAAACAAGAAGCCAATCTATCTAGCCACACGTCCAGAAACTTTAACGTGATATAAATATTTGGACGTCTCTTTTTTTAGTGTCTTCAGTGGCATTTCAATATCTTGCATTAATGGATATTCTTAAAAATGGGAATTTTTAGCAGAGATTTTCTTAAAGGTTTGTGATATGGAAACTCTTCAAATAATCCTGAAGGCTCCATGCAGCAAGTTAAATCGCAAATTAATTAAATTAGACTTTGAGGTGACACAGTGGCTGTTTCGTTTTGAGACAGATTCTTTGCACAGTTCAAAAAGGTAACCTTACATCTATCATTAAGTGACAAAACTTTTTCTGTAACTGACTTTTTGTCACCAAAAAAGGCTCTCAGGCATTGGGAGGGGTAATGTGACAAGGAAACTTCCCAAACTCTATAGATTTCACGGTGTCTTATAAATTTTATACAGTTTTTCATGCGTTTGGTTTTTTCAAGTCTCAAGTTAGGTAATGCTGTTCACCTTCAATAGTGTCATCTTGTTTAAACGGGCTTTGAAATCAATATCAATTTGAAGTGGTTTCATGGAATATCAAACCAACAAAAACTACAATCGTTCCTGGCAACAGAACAAGACCATGCTATTGCTTGACAATGTTACATAATTAAACTGGTTCTTCATATAAAAATATTAATGAGTCAAAAAAATTATCTAGAATCAACACCAATCTGCTGTTTGCCGATATCTACTATTACAGACTGCATGATGTTTAGCTGTCTTGCTGGGAACAGTTCCATGTGGTTCTAATAAACAAAGTCACTGATTGATTGTTAAAATCAAACCTTGATAAAGAAAAGTAGGCTTGACGTCACATTTCCTATGATCAAACAAATTCAAAATTTGTATTTTTTCTGTTGTACATCGTAACCAAACAAACTTGTTAAATTAACCTTATCACAACTATACTGTCAAGAGTCCACTGAGTGCTGCTATACCTCCAGGGGCTTTTAATTCACACAAAAAATAACTCTTGCATGCCTTGCGTGCCTATGTTTATATTTGTCTGTTTGTTTAGTTTTTTGTTGTTGTTGTTTTCTTTTTTTGGTTTTGGGTTTTTTTTTCCACATTGCAAAGTAAACCTTTGATCTCTCTGGATTAGATACACAATGACTACGTACCTTTCTCCCTTTTTCAATTTAATGTGAGGGTCAGTATCTCTTCAATCACAATCATACTGCAGTGAAGTATTTAATTCCAGACAAGCACAGTTTATGTACATGGTTTGCCACATGTTATTAGTAAACCACACAAAATTCGAATACTTTTTCTATGCTAAAAACCCAATAGCATGTGCATGTTTTAAAATGTATAATTATGAGCATGAAATCTCTAATGTATTAAACATAACAGCATCCTAGTAAATACAGACATAGCTCACCATATGCAGAAGTCCGCACTTTAACTTGGAATGAGTCACTTGTAAAGTGTTTATTTGTCCCATATAACTCAACTATATATTCAGTGTATGGCTGCAAATCAGTTAATTCATAAGAAGTTCTTGTTGGAGGTATTTTTGAGATTTTCTTTATCCAACCATTGCTTTCATCTGTGCGGTATTGCAGTGTATAATACTGCAAAGAGTTGCTTCTGTCATCTGCTATTAAGTTGAAGGTAAGAGTAAATGGGGAACCCCTTTCAAACTTAAGCTTGACATTTGGTTTATCTGAAAAAAAAAAGTTAATTTTCTTGATTAATACAGTTCTACAAAGTAAAGAGTTCAACGCAATGGTTTCATTATGGGAGCCAGTGGAACCCAGTTAATACAGACATCAAAGAGAAAAGTGTCTGTATAATATATCTGTGTGTCCATATCAACTTGGCATTCAGCAAAAACATGTCTTAGCAATAATTATATATTAAATACTAAAAGCAAGCAACAGGTTCAAACCACATGAACCTAGAGGTCATAAGGTCTAGAGGGGTCAAACAGCAGACTGAGAAATACAGTTGTCAATTTGCATGTCACACATGACACTGTTATATATGCCTCTCTACATAAGGTTGTACAGTATTAGTAACAAATATGTTTTAACTTAATTGAAGAAAACTTTCTGTTTGGGGTACATTAGCAAATTGTATACTGTGCACAGATAATCAGTGTCCATAAAGCAAGGTTACTCTGTATGAGATATGTTACTTGTGTCTCAGAAAAGTGTCTGCTGTCTGTATCAACTAGTGTCCAAATTAAGTGGACAAATAAAAATTATTATTAATAAGAGGAAATGTATGAGCTTTTCATCAGGACAAACAAAGCTGTCCCTACTAAGCAGATTATCATATCAAGTCAGGGTGTTTTTAGAGCACGGTTCTACTGTGTTGACAGAGATCAGAAAACTTTTTGCCATTCGCAACAGAGTAATTTACATTCAAAAGGTAAGAAAGCAATTGATCAAAATGAAGAACATAATTGTATATTTCACTTCTTTATCTTTTCTAATCATCTCAGCCTATAAATTAGGTATGAAAGTCAAATCTAGCCTCTTTGCTACCTGGATTACGGGTACAGAGCTACAAAATGTAAAACCCAATGTACTATGCAATCCATGTAGTTTTGAGAGTTTGAGAATCTAATCTCCTTCGATGTAAGTAAGTAAGTAAGTAAGTGAGACTTTATTTTACGAGGATAACATTTGACAGTAATAAAACTGATAACCTAATGGCCCTCAAAAATTAAAAATTTGAAAAAGAAAGAAATAGTAACAATCGTAGCAATATTAAAAATAATTAAGCCTATATACATCGTAAAATATTTATAAAATGTGATTANAGGTAGAGGCGACAAGGTTCCGCAAACGTTTGCCTGTTACCAGCATGGACTTCGTTTTCTGAGAGTTAATAAACATTTTGTTTCGTGCCGACCACTCATCTAAACGTTTGAGATCTTGATTGAGAGCCTGTGTCAGATGAGGAACATTTTCCCAGCTAGAGTATTTTGATAGAGTTGTATCATCAGCATAAATATCCAGTGTTGAATCACGTATACTTAAAGGCATGTCATTTACAAACAATAGGAAGAGAATGGGTCGTAAGATTGATCCTTGAGGCACTCCTTATAACAACTGCTTACTGGTGGAACAGCAGCCATTTATACGCACACATTGTTTTCTTCCAGTGAGATATGACCCAAACCACATTAATGATAAATCGTTGGCCCCATAAATAGATAGCTTCTTAAGTAAAAGCTTGTGATTTATCACATCAAAAGCCTTTCTAAAATCAACAAAAGCTAAGCCAGTAACCATATCATTATCCATATTAAAGAGCAGTTCATCAGTTAACTTAATCAGCACCGTTTCCGTGGAATGATTTGGTCGAAAAGCTGACTGGAGGTTGTATAGCAAATCATAGCTGTGTAGGTGTTTGCACAGAGATGTTGCAACATGCGTTCAAGTATCTTTGAAAGAACAGGTAATACAGAAATTGGTCGATAGCTGTTTGTGTCTTCACGAGAGCCACTTTTAAACAAGGGAGTGACTTGAGCGGTTTTCCATGTGCTTTAATTTTCAAAAGACACATGATGCACTGGCCTGTACATGTGCATACGAAGTCTAATTTTATATTAATATAATTCAGTTTCAAAGAGATTAATCAATTGAAATGAATTAAGTTGAATACTCCAAGCAAAGCAACGAGCATGCAGTCTTTCACTTAAACTGGATCTGAGGGTGAAACTGCAAAATACATCTAAACTTACCAACTTTGACTAACTGAATATCAAGCGAGTCTTTTCCTTTGTTATTTTCCACTGTACACGTGTACGGTCCAAAGCCATCATGGCCCTGAGGAGTCACCCTTAGTATCCCATTCTCCTCTGAGGTGGCCACAGTACCAGACGAGTTAGTCCAGATGTATCGTGGTGCTGGATTACCATCAGCAACACATGACAAGTTTGTAGTAGCCCCTGGCCATGCATGAACTTTTTGGCTTGATGCTGTTTTATTGATCACAGGTTTATCTTGTTGGGTAAAACAAAACAAGAAGGAAAATTCGAAAAGCTGTTGAACTTTTCACCTGAGCAAGAGTCAAAATACTTGAAAACCCCAGTTATAAAACCCAGGATCAAATAACTTTGTAAGAGGTTTTGGATAGGCTTACAATCATTTTAAAATGAGGTGGTTAAGGATTATAAAAGCCCGATTACTTTTAATAAAATACATATAAAAAATAACAGCCCATTAACTTTAAACTCTTTTGGAAAATGTTCCAAGATTCCTTTCTCTAATAATTCTGATACCTGAACAATTTCATTGTTAAATAGCCAAAAACATTTTAAAAAATGAACGTTAAAAAAGGAGTAATTTTTCACTGGCTGAGTGAAATTAAATAACTGAAAAACGTTTTCTCACATGCCGCTGGGGCCTGGGTGTCGTGTGACCTACGGGGAGGGCAGTTGTTTTTGTTGCGTCCGCCATTGCCGACTTTCCCACACACACACCCAAAGATTTTGCAATAAAGGTCAGGTGGAGGCAGTCAGTTTGACATGCCTACCAGTGGCGTGTGAGAAAGACATTTAGCAGCCAAAATGAATAACCAAGTGCTTTTGAGAGACTCCGGGCACTAGAAGGTCTTATGACATTGTTCTCAGAATCTACGCGTATGACTCCACCTAAAAATAGCTCAAAATCTGTCTCACAGTTTGTTTGTTTTTTAAGTTTGGTTCTGAACATGTTTCCCTCCTTCAATTCAACTATATGTTAGATTTTCAAGGAATCTTGGATCAAAGACAAGTTTTACTATATAAAAATTCAAACGATTAAAATATAACTTAAAACTTATAATGTAGAAAAATATTAGAGTCAAAGTGTCAAGTGTCATCTTGTGAAAAATCACAAGTTTTCCTGGGCTGTGAGTCTGTTTCTTAAGTGTCTGGGTTTGCACTCAAGCACTGGTTTCTGGCTTTTCACTTTGGCATTCGAGCAAGTTTAAGAATGATGTGGGGAGGGGGACCTTACAAACTAGATCCTGCATCTGGTGTAGAACAGAAATCACTAGTTGGAGGATTTTGCTTCCTACAAAACTGTTCCCCTTTGCTGCATCGTAGTTTGTGAAAAATTATATTTCACTAAAAAGCTGGCCCAAGTTTCTTATTTTGGGAGCATATGGATTGGAAAAACTTGGTAACTTTACAAATGTAAGACCGTTGTTTTGGCACACCACCAAACATGATCTCACACAATAAATCGCCGCAGCTACCAATCCAATTGGAAACTTCTACTTGAAACAAATTTCCGTGCAGCTACAATCATTCACTTTATTCAAAACTCCTTTCAGAGTTGCCACATTCTGTGACAGTTGTCCCAGTCTCTATTCATAGACTTGTTTAGTCTAAAAATCACCACATGCAACAAGTTGTCATGTTTGCTCACATTTTCCTTAGTTTCTATAAATTGGTTCCTGTAAACCCCAGTGGATAAGCCACACCTTTTTACTCAAAATTTTCCTTAAAAATAGGGGATGTGGCTTATCTGCGAGAACATCTGGACAATGTGTCATAAATTTGCATAAACTAACCCTTTCCATCAAAAATTTTTAAGTCGGTAAAGCAAACTAATAAGAACTTCAGTAAACTAATAATATCAGAGTACACATCGATCATTGCCTTTACAAGTTTAATGGCTCCTAAAAGAGCCATTTTTGTTCATAATCACAGGCTTACATTTCTTACTGTTGAACTGCATTAAACCTTTGTAAAAAAATATTTCAGACAGTTTAAGGCCGCCATTCTAGCTCATTCTAGAGCAGCTAAACGTCACATGGTAGGGAATCTCCATTCTGCCACAAAGCTGTTTACATGTCAAAAAAGAATGCTTTGAAAGCTACTTGTGTCCAGTACTCCATCTCCTAGTGAAATGCCTGACTACTAAGCTACAGATGAACAAATGCGTCCATCTTGTTGCATGTAAAATTCTATTGAAAAACTGACAGGAATGAAAACATCACTGGTTTAAAAATACCAGAGAAAGATCAAACATCATTTCCATACTATTGCAGAACTAAAATTATAGGTAAGGGTTTCAGTTTGAAGCATCCTCGGGTTTCAATACATCTGTGAGTTAACGCCGGTTTACATTCAATAAATCAAGGAATGTACATGTAAAGAACCTTTCTCAAGCTTCACTTGTGAAGTATTTGATTCTTTCCAAAAACTTTTTTTCCGAAATTTTAGTTGCCAAACTGGGGGTGCAACTTATCTGTGAGTGCGGCTTATCCGCTCAGGTGTTTACAGTACTTGATACTTGAAGCATGACAAATTGAGTCTACCTAATTGTCACTGTTGTCTCTGCCCAAGGAGTAGAATTCAATATTCAATAGCTTTCATGCAGGCATTCAACTCGCCACCACACTTTTCTATCCTTGGCATAAAATTATATAGTAATATGCAATCACTCTTAATACACAAAGGAATCATGTCTAACTAGAATGATCCCTTTAAGCCCTCGGATTATTATTTGTGATTATAATGCCTGTAGAAGAGCCAAGAGGTTTAGTTTAAGTGAGTATTAGTGTGTAAGATGAAACTCAAGCAAGCAAACTGTTTCACTCAACAGCTACATGCAAACTAGAGCAATACTGAGCTATGTTATATGATGTGAGAAGTGCTGGGTAAAAATATTAGACATATTACTCACAATACACATTTATTTTAAACTCCGCAGTGGCATCCTGTCCAAAGCCATTAGTTGCTATGCATCTGTACCGACCCTGGTCAGACCGCTGAACATCTCTAATATACAGAGAATTTCCTTCTTGGACCTTTAGATTTCCAAGGAGTTTTACCCAAGTGATCTTAGGAGGAGGGTAGCCTTCAGCTTCGCATCGCACACTCACTTGCCCATTTTCATCAACAACTTGGTCATCTGGAAAAAGTTTTATCGTAGGCGAGTCTAAAACAATGAAAAATATCCAACTGTTATAATTTTAAAAGACAGTTTTAATCAACAATCATAAAAATGCATCTGGTACCTCACTTTTCGATTATTTATTAAATATATACAATGCCAAGTTTCATGCTCGAACTCGCAGTATTTCCCTTTGAAAAAAAACGAAAATCTATGTCAATGTGCTGGGTGCAAATAACACAATAATTATACATGAACAAGAGACAAATCAATTTCAATGGCGAAAATAAAGGGCTATCATTAATTAAAATCCCGTCAATTCACTGCTATCAGTAGAAACATAATGTCCACTATATAAAAACTGTTTTTAGAAGTTTTTGAAGCATTGTGCATTAACTTTGTTTAATTTCCTGTTTGCCGTCATGTCTAGTTTGTCATCGCGTGTATTCCCTTACTGTAAACAACACTGTGAATGGTTGTCATTACAAATGCAAGAGATTTCCTGGAACCTTAATGTTTTCGATTCACCAAAATGCTTTGAGTTCGTTAAGACACAATAATGGTCAACTTGGAATGCTGTTTAGTATTAAGGACATTAAAGGACTGTAAATTAACCGAGTTGAAATATCTTGAAGCAAATCAGAATCACGCCCTTATTCTAATTAGGTATACAGCCAATCTCGGTTCAAGTTCAAGAAGTCAAGAGGTTAGTCCAGCAATGTATCAAACCGTGGTCATCAAAAGTGGAAGTTTACAACTGTAGTGAAAAGTTCCAAATAAATTTCGCCAATATAATTGGAAACAAGAAGTGAAACAGTCTGACCCCAAACAAATAAACAAAATATTAATACGACTAATTTAATCCGAAAATGTAACAGACAGCATACCTAAAAGTCGTCGATTCCCCCCAATACCACTCCACATTGCCTTGAAGAGCCCAACCTTTCTGCTGTAAGAACCAGGGGCCACATGAATCTGTTTTTGCTCATGGATGTTATGTAACATCCATGAGCTTAGGAGGCAGTCGGATGGCGTTCACTCAC